GTAGTTGATCCTTATTTATTGACTTGACTAAGTCGATATTTAAAATTCGGCTTAGCCGGCTAAGTCAGAGTCAATAAATATTTTACCTTTTGAATTTATCAGTGATGTCGCGACCTTGCTCGCATTTTTATGTTCGTTGATTTTCTCTTCAGAATTTTTCAGCTCTTACTCTTAGTACTATGTATGTACTAAGTGAGGTAATGTATCGAAACTGATTGGTACTTTATTTCAAAGATTTTCATATTATCTATAGGCAATTCTGAAACGTTTTCAGAATTGCAAAGTATAAATATGAGAGTTGTTTGCACTATATTTGTCTCTCATTTTTTGAATTTTTTGACCCATTCTTATGACACCGATGTTTCAAAACAATTTAGTATTATTGTTTGGAGTGTGAGAGCCTAAAGTTGGTATATAAATATAATACCTTTAAACCTAGCTGCATGGTAGTGTTACAAATAATGCGAATGGTGAAGAAATAGTTATGCAGTATTACAAGGTTTATACTGCAAGATGCGGTCAAATACCAAAAATATTATTATTATTAGTTATTGGCAATTTTGAGACAATTTTACCTACCCATTTTTCGGTTTCCTTATTTGAAAGATCTGCATTGTTTAGCCTATTAAATTGTAAATTTTTACCCTGTAAAAAAAAAAAAAAAAAAAGATTAAGTACGTTGAGAAGGTAATAACTAAAACTTTCTATGCTAAGCTAACTAAAATACTATATTATACTACTAAAATAATCCACTTAGATTTCAAGACTCCTAAAATCTTGAATTGGAAGGCAGAAGCCTTGGATAATAATCCTGTATCCTTTTAGCTTCTTATGGTTTCGTTTGTATTAGTTTCCTTAACACTAACACTCCCAGTTCTTTGTTTTAGAATGTTCATTCTTTTCATGGTCACGTGTGATGTAATCATATACTAGCGGCTATCGGTGATTTAATATTCAATTTGGATATAAGATCTATGTCATGGGTAGATAATTGGTGGAATTCAGATCTCCAATTAACCGATGGGGCTGATGTCACGGGTAATTTCGAAGATCAATTAATTGATTGTTGGCTTAATAAGTGATGACAATGCGTCACGAGAAAATAGGGCATTTAATAAGCGTATTTTCGTAATAGTAACAGGGTTCTATCTTGTTATTCAACACCCTTGCTTATAATTTGACGTTTTTTGATATAAAAATAAGGTGGTCACGGGGACAAGGGATTATGATGATAAGTATTTGTTCTTGTACTATATGTTTTAATAAAGGAAACAACTTGGGACTAACACTTCTACTCTAATTTCGACAGTGTTAACGGGACTCTTACTAAAAGGTTTTTTTACTAAGTGACAACTCTACACTACTTTCGGGTCAGAATTTGGATCGATTAGGAAGAATTTGGGTCAAAAGGGAAATATTTTTAAGGAACAACTTCTACTAAAGTGATTTCGAAGTTAAAACTCAAGTGTGTTATCTTTATTTGGGGCGAGCAAAGAGCTCTTTTATAACAAAATTTACAGACTTAATTCAATAATTAAATTCACGAAATTCACAAAATTTATGAAATTCACAAAATTAACTAAATTAACTAAATTCACTAAATTTACTAAATTAACTAAATTCACTAAATTCACTAAATTTACTAAATTAACTAAATTTACTAAATTTACTACCCTAAAAGGAAACTTCACCATCATTCCCGAATATAGAAAAAAAAAATACAAAAATAGCAAAGAAAAATGATAGGCATCTGACACAGCCCGATTTCGGGTATGGTGACATTAATCTTAACTGTCACAATTATTCTCCTCCAAAGAGAGCTTGTAACACAAGCTTGTCTTGAATTAATTCATTAAATTGTTCCTTTGGCAATGTCGTAAGTTTGGTAAGATAGGTATGAGTGGTTCTATAGATTTGTTCAACCCGAAGGGTTCGAACAAATAGTAAGCACATTTGGCACCCCGAAGGAAGTACTCACCGTACTTCCTTCTCGCAACAAATTTTTTAGTTTGAGTGGCAACGGACATACAGGCACTAGAATAGTAAGCATATACTAGGGCATCAACCCTATTTCCCTAGCTTTGGCCCTATTAATTTTGTCCCGAGCAAGTGCCAATTTGGTTGCAATTCCTTGACCAGCATCGTAAGGGCAGGGCATGGCCATTATGAGCAAAGGTTAAGTAGCAAGTAGGTCCTGTTGAATCAAAGTTTTATAGGAGGCCATAGTAATAGTAATTTTAGAATTATTATTATTATTTTTTTGTATTAAAGAAGTTAAATTGGATCTGAAGTTGCATTTCAATGGCTAATTTGTAGCCTTTATATATTTTTCTTCGTTTTTCCTTCTTTTGTTCTCTTTTTCTTCTTTTTTTTTTTTTTTTTTTTTTTTTTTTTATTGTCTTTTTACTCATATACTTCGATATGTGAGTTCCCTAGTCACTTCATTCGAAATAAGGCTTGAGCAAGGCTTTATTTACAGAGGTCTCTAATACTTTCTCATTTAGTTCTCTTATCTTGTAGACGCTGTTTGAAAGAATAGCATGAATATAGTATGGCCCTTTCCATTTGGGCGTCAGTTTGTTGGTACGTGTGCCCAATTTCCGGGCATCTAGCACTAATATTTTATCACCAATATGGAAATTATCCATGGCTTTGACTTGTAGATCATGACGCCTTTTCTGCTCTTGTTGTACCCTCTTAATTCAGCGCAGTGCATTCTCACGGGCTTTGGGCAGATTACTGTTGATCTCATACAGCCTCTGTATGATAGTATCGTTTAGTAAATCTTCAGATTCACTAAGGTGGATGGGTAATTGGGCAGCGCTTCCATACACCAAGTAGAAGGGTGTTTCCTGTGTCATAGCTTGCTTCGCTATGTGGTAGGCGAACAGAATTGGTGGGATTAATAAGTTCCAGTCTGTCACATTGGTGGTTAGTCTTGCTATAGCATGGCACAACGTTTTATTAAAACGTTCTACAAGTTCATTGGTTTGTGGATGATAGGGGGTGGAGCAGTGGTGCTTAGTATCTAAAGCAGCCAATAGTTCATCTACAACGTGGTTGTTGAAGTGGGAGCCTTGATCAGTTAGTATAATGCTGGGACATCTGTGCCTGCATATTATATCTTCATTAATAAACTGGGCCACCTCTTGCGCATTAGCCCTAGAAATTGCGCAGACTTCTGGCCACTTTGTCATATAGTTAGTCGCAATGACTATATATCTGTTCATACAGGGCATTATAGGAAGTGTGCCAACTATATCGATCTCTATTCTATGAAAAGGGGCTTTTACGGGTATCGGGTGCAATAGTTCCTTAGATTTTCTACTCTCATGGCATTAGCAGCTTTCACATGTCTTCATGTACTCGCATATATCACGGTACATTTGAGGCCAATAGTAATATCCACAAAGTTTATTAAACACTATATCTTTTCTAAAATGGGCTCCTGTAGGGTGGTCATGGGCTAATTCTAGAATAGATTCTATTTTCCCTTCTTGTAATACCTTCATTGTCTTTTCCTTTATTTTCTTTTTACTTTTCTTGTACAGGCTTCCAGCCTTTACTTGGAAAAATTGACTTTGTTTTTCTAATTGCTTTCATTGTTGACTATCATATGTTGGCGGATATTGATAATGTTGAAGGTAAATTATTAGTGCTGAATATAATTTCTTTTTTTTTAAATTTGGATAAGACCAAGATGTTTGGTCTTCTTCAGTTTCGTCTTTTTAGCCAGGATACCGGCAACCTGGGCTGGATTGAATTTTTTGTCGGGTTTAACTTGTTTTGATTGAAGTAATTCTATTTCATCAATGTTCAGCTTTTCAATCCAATTCCATTTTGATAACAATTCCTAACACTGTATGAGTATAGTCATGAATCTCTATTCTTTCTGTAGTTATTTTCTAACCGTCTATTTTTCTTGGGTTTAGTCGATTTTTCTTTTTCTGTGGTTATATCTTCTGTAAGTTGTATACAAAGGTCTGCCTTTTTGGCTCCATATTCAATTCTTGGGTTCTTGTAAGATATTGTCTGTATACTTCATTAGACACGTCTTAGAGTGTTCAACTCTGTTGGGTATTTTTGCAACCCTTTCTTCAGTAGTATTAATCTTCTGGCCAGTTTTTACCAGGCATAGCAAGTTTCGATATTGGTATGCTTCATATTGTGCAGTTAGTCTTGTTAAAATCCGAATTTCTTGATCTCCAAATCTTGGTCTTATTTTGAACTAATTATAGTTGATTTGTAACATTTCTTATTTTTGTAGGTACTTTGGTAGTTTTTCTTGAGTGACACTAGTCTTAGTAACTTGCTTTGGGCTTCCCAAACTTTATTTCACTAGTTTACTTAGCTTTCGAGCAATGGGTACTAAATTTTTCAATTCGTATCTATTTATTTATTTTTTTTATTACTGTGTTTCACTATTTTCTGATAATTCTTCTCTCGATTCTTTCACTGTTTGATTCCTATAGCTTTATTCAATAATAATATCGTGAATTTGTAGTTTTTATTTAATTCTTCTTTTTTTGTAAATGATTGGTATATTCTGACTCCATTAGGTTTAATAACTCTGGGTTTCCTTTAATGTTTTTCATGTTATTCTTTAAAACCTTCAGGCTTGTTTCACGTGAAATTTAAATGGTTTTCTTGAATAGGGCCCCACAACTCACCCTATTCCATCCTGGCCATCCTTTCTCTAGCGTTAGGTCTGTTGTATTTGTTCATTTGGCATATATATCTTTTTCTTTTTTTTTTTGTGGGGTGTAATGATAAATAAGTAGACTAATACTAAATGTTACTAACTAATGTTCTTTTTTTTTTTTTTATTATTATGGTCTTTCGACCTTAATCAGGTTTAGGTAGGTAGTTGTTTTTTGCTTACTGGGAATCATAATACTCCCAGTTAATATAATCGTTGAATTCTTGTGGCCAATCTAAATCGTTAGATTAGTGGGGAATTCAATGAACATTTCCTCATCAATATTGGTATTCTACCAACACTAATCATGTCCCAAGCGACTTTGGTAATAACTATAGCCCGTATCTTCGTATTCCTCATTGCTACTATCCTGGAACTCAAGTCCTTCGGTTAATTCTCCCCACTGGGGTATATCAACCAGGTAGGCTTTATTCAAGTTCATATATTGAGCATCATTTTCAGCATTATTATTACTTAAAAGTTCATCCTAATATCTAATTAAAGTTGTCTAGTTTATTTCTATCCTGGCTTCGGCAACTAGTTTGATTAAGAGACCTTGGTAGTATCTTTCTCGCTCTATTTTGCTATTAATTATTTCTTTGTAGTCTTGACTTTCACTTTTGTATTCACTTTCTTCATCATCCTCTCACTCCATAGTATTATTATCTTTTCATATAATAAATTTCATTTCCTCATCGGAATCCTCATAGAAGTACTCTTGGGCAATGGCCCGAAAAACTTCAACTTCTTTGAATTGGCGGCTGGGGCTACTAGGGTTTTCTGTTCAGGTAAATGGAGTTGTTCCTTTTTATTTTTTTGCATATTGATTCTTTTTTGGTTAGGAGTACTTGCATTGTTTTCTTCTTGGTTTCTTGGTAATTCTTCAGTCATTCTCGACAGTGCATTAGCATTGTTATGAACTCTTTCGGCCCTATGTATTATAGTATAAACGTATGGCTAGAGGCGTAGAATCCACCTAGCCTGCCTTCCTTTTAACGCAGTACTGTGAAGCCATTTTAGGGCAATGTGATCAGTAACGATGATAAAGAGTTTATACCCTAAATAATAGTAGAAGTGCTCTATAGCCCAAACCATGGCGTAGCACTTCAATTCAGTAGCCGAGTAATTTCTTTCTGGTTAGGTGAGACTTTTACTAGTGTATACAATGGCATATTCCCTGCCTGTTTCATCTTTTTGTGCTAGGACAGCTCCTAGTTCAACACCTGACGTGTCAGTATAGAGTTAAAATAGCCTTTCGAAGTTTGGGTATCTTAGGACTAGAGCCGTTATAAGGTGGGTCTTCAGTGTAGCAAATGCTTCATCCTGCTCATTTTTCCACTGATATGGAGTACCCTTTTCTATTAACTAGTGCAAGGGTTTGGCTATGGTGGCAACGCCTCTAATAAATTGTCGGTAATAGGATGCAAGGCCTATAAAACCTCTCAGCTGCCTTAAGTTAGTAGGTGGAGGGAAATTTTTGACTTTTTTTATTTTCTTTTTATCTGGTTGGATACCATTAATTCCTACAGTATGACCCAGGAAGTCTATAGTTTCTTTAAATAATTCACATTTTTCTGGGTTAAGCTTTAACCTTGCTGCTTCAATTCTTGATAGGACATTTGCCAGATGCAATAGATGCTTCTAGTAGGTTCTGGAGTAGATAATGATATCATCCAAATATACTGCAACGTATTGGCCAATAAGATCATGCAAGATATGATTCATGGTTCGTTGAAAGGTAGCTAGTGCAGTGCACAAGCCAAAGGGTATAACGTTAAACACATATACAACTTGTTTTGTGATAAATGCAGTTTTTTCTGGTCTTTAGGCTTCATGGGTATCTGCCAGTACCTGCTAGCCAAATCGAGGCTTGAAAACTAATGGGACTTCTTAAAATATTCCAGCATGTCATCTATACGCGATAGAGGATATGCATCTTTCTTCGTCATAGTATTGAGTTTTCGATAGTTGATTCATAGCTGTAATTTTCCATTCTTTTTAGGGACTATAACAACTGGAGAAGTCCAGGCACTTTTTAGTTCGTATATAAGCCCATGTTCTAATAGCATTTTAATTTTCTTATCCAGGAAGTCTTGCGTATCAGGTGAAATTCGATAAGCTGGTTACCTAATCGGCTTGGCTTTATCAGTGTCAATTTCATGTTGGACTACCTCAGCATAACCCATTTTGTCTAGCTCTGTAGAGAGGATATTGGGGTAAGTTTCGAGAACATGCCTTGCTTCTTGTCTCTGTTCCGGGTTTAAAGCCTCTACTTGTATTAACTTTTCGATTAATTGGTTAGTAGTTGGCTCAGATTGGGGCTCGTCCTCCGGAGTGGGAATTTCTTCCACATTGGTCAAGTAAATTGCCAGGTTATTGCTTATTTCCAGGGGTACCGAAAAATTAATTGTAATTAAATTTTTTTACAATTACCATTTATCATAATTGTTACACGAAAATAATTGCGATCAATTAAATTGTAAATAAT